TTCTCTTTAATCTGTGATATTCTAGATCTCTAGGCGTCTCGTTACTCAAACATTATAAGAAAAACAAAATGCAAAAAAATCGTTACGGAATTTCACTCCGGTAGCAGAGATGGCTGGCCAGAGCGTATTATAATTCATCCGAGAAATGCCGTTTGAATTTTAAAAAGCATATCATCTTCTTTAAGTTCCCGAGTAAATAAAAATGGCTGAGTATATCACCAATCAAATTTTTTAGCCACTCGTGAGAATCATCATCATATGCACGTTGCCATGCCAAAGAACTCCCTTCTTTGTTGATCTCAGCTATTCGCATTTGGTCTTTCCTTTGAAGCATTATCTTTCTTTTATAAAGAAACATTTATACTGTTAATAGCAACTTGCAAAATGCTGTTTGAAAAACTGTGATGACATTATTTTCATTAGAGTGTGTTTTTTGACCAATAGGAAAAAACTAGACGGTAAATGAAAAAACGCTAAGCAAAAATTTGGTGACATCAGTGACTAATGGATATCTCTGCAAACTCTAAGTGAATCAGAAAGAAAACAAACACATGAGAACGTGTTTCTTCATTCTATTTATTATATCTTTTTCTTTCTCCGGTCTGTAGAATCAACGCATACGCACACATTTGCCAAAAATTGCGAGAAAATTTGAAAGAAAAGAAAAGACATCCTATGTGATACATCCCTATTCTCTTTCTCGTCCACAAACACATCAATTCTCTTATTACATGAATACATGTATTTAGATGTATGCTATATAGATGTGTCGGTTATATACTCGCCACCCAATATTTTTTTCCTTTAACAGTTCTTCGGCTCACAAATATTATTCATCAAAGAAGTAAGTAGTCGTTATTTTTTCTTTCTTTTCTTTGAAATATGCGAGTTGAACACCATCACAACATTTGTGCGGTGTTTCATTGCGTATATACATCGTTCGATGAACCAAACTGTGTATGTGTAATCGTTAGTGTGCACAATAAACACTTTAGACTAGTCAGTGGTGATTTACAAATTATCAGATATGTATATTTTTGTTTGTGTAACACTTGATAAGTTACTACAGAACTGTTGAATTAAATACATCAATTTATCCTACATTAGTAATGCGATTGGAAAGAATGAGGTAGTGACCTTAGTGAGACTTGTTGTATCAAGATCAAGCCAAGATCTTAGATTCTTGAATCTTTCACTTAAAATCTTGGAAACAGAAATTTCAAGATCTTGCGTGAATTTACTCAAGATGCTGCAATAGCTTAAGTGAAAAATTTTCTTTACATTTTGTTTTCATTTATGAGAGCCATAGCCATCAGCTATACGATCATTTAGAATTATAGTTCTTCTTTAAACTTTTGTTTTCAAGATTTCCAAGATCTTGGTAGACGTAGTCAAGAAATTACAAGATGTTTGAGGTCTGAACTTCTTGAAATTTCTTGAATTCTTACATTTTCTTACCAAGATCTTACTGGAAAAATTCGGTTACAATGGTTACAAGACGTTTCACTACCCACTGAAAAAAATATACAAAATTCAAGCAGGATCCCGCGGGTTATCAGTATTAAAATATCTGGCGATGTTTCTTACCTTTACGCAGGATTTTTATACTGCTAGCCCTGACAGAATCCTGCATAGTTTATGTAGGGTCAGCATGGAAAAAATCCTGCGTAAAGATAAGAAACTTTGCAAGACTTTTTGACTTATTCAATCCACAAGTTCTTTCCTACGAGATCTGGCAGAATTTTGTTGGTTAAACAGGGAGGAAAAAATTTCGCAGGCTATGCAAAGTGAAACATCTGCGAGATATATCGCATGAACACATGTAAAAGTTCCTGCATGGTGGGCCTAGAGAAGAATTCTCTAGGATCCTGCAGAAAAGAAACTCGAAAAGTGAGCGTGTTAAAGAATCCTGCTCAATTATACTCACCAACTTGCAGGAAAATTTTCGGCGAGGTAACGTGATGTAAAAACTTGCAGTATATATCCAACATTCACAGGATTTTTTCAGATTCCTGTGTGTCAACGCAGGAATTCGTAAATTTTTTTTCAGTGGGCAATGACAATGTTAACACATTTATCCGAAAACAGTTTCTATCGTCATCATGGAAAAACTCTACCAGTACCAATGTCTTTTTATTTTGTATTGATCGGACCGAGTGGTCAGTAAAATAATGTTTTTAAATTACTGATATTTTCAGGAAAGATTCCGTCTTTCTATGTTTGATTTATAGGATGTGGCAAAACACCCTTATTCAAGGAGATTGTACGTTCTATTGAAAATGCCGAAGAACGCTTTCCACAATTGTATCGGAAAAAAGAAGATATTGGTGCAGATTTCGAATCGTGTGGAATCATTTCAAATGTAACAGGTTTGGGATTAAGAAAATTATTGACTTCATCCAATAAAAACGTATTTATACATGTTGAATTTGATGTTTTATTCAATAAATATAGTATATTTTATGCAAGTGATCAAAAATGTGATGAAGAACGAGTACTATTACTCAATGCATTTGATGGATAAAGAAAAATAGATAGCTATTTTGTACTGGTACACCAGAAATGTGAGACCCCTGAATTCTATGGAATTTTCAGACATACAAGTCCGTGTAAACGATAAAATTCCAGATTTACTTCGAACTGAGATGAATTTTCAATAACACAGATTCAAAGCATAGTCCAGAATCCTCAATACAATGAAAAACGTTTTGCCTAAATATTTATTGAGAAATTTTTTATGAAGTTCCCGTTTTTACCGTACAATTTAGCGAAAATGCCAAGAAAAGTCTTCTTAATTTTATTTATAGTTCTGGAACTCCAGATCAGTTGTGGCAGAGAGTTGAGAGCTCATACTGGAATCCGATACGGAAGGTGGGAGGAGGGCGAGGCGAGATTAGAGTGAGCCTTTCCTTGACATTCCGGAGCATGAACAATGAAAATTCCAGATTAGGAACTTGGTGAGATTTCTAGTTTTGCATTGAATCTGTCTTTGCGGGAATTTCTTCCAATTCGAAGAAATTCCGAAATCCTTGGCTTCAATTGTAAGGTTGGGAATTCTCCAGAATTCTAAAATCCCACGCATTTCTTGAAAACCTTGTATCATTTATCGTTCTTTATTTTAGTTTGCTTAACGATAATCGTGCAACGGGTAGTAGCAACGTAAAAATGGAAGCAGCACAGTTGTCGATTGCTGGCGGTACTGTTGGTTATGGTTTTTGGCGTTCATTAAAAAATTTTGACAATGATAGTGCCTGTGCTGGTGTTCACAATCGTTACGTTTATTTGTCATTACCACTAGTTAAAGCAAAGAGACCACAAGAGTGAGTTTTCTTTTCTTTTTCTTCATGTGAGCTATAGCTCATTAAAATTATGAATATTTTTGTCCTGAGTAAAAATTTGTTTTTTTGTATCAGTTAAAAAATCGTTTAAACTCGAATTCAACTGTGCACTCGCTTCAATGTTTTTTTTCACCAATGTTTTGTAAAATCGATCTGATCGCTGTTGTGACGACATCTAAAAAAGATAAAGACAAACAAATTAATTTTAGTGTGTACAAGTTAAAAGCTATACACAACTGCATAGAAAAGCGAAATAGAGTAGTCGTGCCACCTGTCAGCTTGAACGAACACATCGATAGAACTGAAAAAGTAAACACTGTTAGCAAACATACAAAAAGGGAAACCGTTTCACCTAAAGGTGGCACTTTCTCGTTTCTTTCCGAAAAAAGAAAAGCAAAAATGGACTTTCCTGTCTTTTCGGACTTTGGCACTTTACAAGCCTACCCAGGTCAGAAAATCCCACTACGATCCTATCAGTTCCTATTGGATCCTGTGAAGTGCAGGACATGACAGGATTCCTGTTATAGGATCCTACAAAATCCTATTATATCCAAGAATAGGTCTACATAAGATTCTGATTGTAGGATTATGTGGCATTTCCTATATGATCTTACAACAAGATCCTACATAATCGGATCACAATACTCCTGTAAAATCCTATAATAGGATAGTACAGGATATTGCAAGTTTCTTATCAACCCAGTGTAGGCTAGTAGTATGCAATTACTAGTTGATTAAGTAGTTGTTCAATATCAATTTTGGATTTTTCCTGGCTAAACGAGTATGTTAAGCGTCTTTCGATTCTTTTTGTTTTCTTTCTCACCAGTGAAAACCTGCACTGTAGCAGCACAATATCTGATGGTCGAGGGTGGTAGCCGATCACTGACTGTTGGCGGTTATACAGTCACTCTAGCACTTTCTCGATCTAGACAGAAAGAAGCGCAAGAGAAAATAAATCATTATCAAAGCAAATAAAGAAAAGTGCAAAATGTTGGATATAAATTGTAGATTAAAACAGAAACTAGTCGGGTATTTTCGCATAGACTTTTTTGTTTCTTTTAAGTGTTGACACATGATTTTTATCCGTTTAGCGTGTGGATGAGGAATCTGGGAATCTTTATAATTGTACATACGTCAATCTGTCTACAGATCTTCTCGCGGCGCTATAGTGGGCTAATCTCACATTTTAAGCTCTGACTTCCCTTTCACAAGATTCAAGCTTACGACCTATTTCAAGCAGCCCATAAGAACCAAAACGTTGACCACTATGCAGTCTATGCTACCTTACTGCTTTTGCTACTGCTCGCTTGCTTACGTTATAAAAGTCGTAAGAATAACAGGAGTTCAGTATCAAAAGCATCGATGGATCAATTACTTAAGAGAAACTCATGAAATCTTAAGATAAACAAAATTTATTCAGAAAAAATCTGCTCTTCTGGTGTGGTTTAAAAACAGTTTTGTATATTGTAATTAGGAAAACGTGCTGCTCATTGTGAAATGCTTATATTGTTTCTGTTGCTTTTTCGATAACTTTTTTATCACTCTTTGCAATCAGAATGGAGAATCCTAAAGATTTCCTAGAAGCTGGCCGTAAAAAATATAACCAATTTGTTGAATCTAGAAGTGTGAATTATAAACAACGTAAAGAAGAATCATTTAATATTAATGAGTTTACAATAAAAGATGTTCATATGTCTGAAGAACAAAAGTATGATAGTCCCGCACCTGATTTACAAGTAAATAAAAGGCACACATTCACAACTCATGCCAATTCTTCAACGGCATCGTGGGATAACAATCCACAGTTGACTGTAATCAATGATCAAGACTATGTTTATCAATCATTATTATCAAATAATAAACAAGAAGATGACAGTGATATAGATTTTGACGTTATTGAAGCATTCGATAGTCCTGACAGTAGTACCTCAAGCTGTATGTGTTGTGTTTAGTTCTATACTATTTTGTTTCGTTATTAATGCAATCCTCACCGTCGCTCCTCACCATAGTTCCAAGTTTCCTTTACAAGCGACTGCTATCCCAGATGCAGATGACTTTCTAAAATTTTGTCCGATCTATCAGAAGGTTTTTCTATGTTTATCTAAAGCAATATGTAATGAGTTCATTTCTAATTTTCTTTCTAATCTTTGATGGAGTTATAGAGAATATCGAGAGTGGAATCAAGGATGACTATGAAGTATTTTGCTTGTACTGGTAGACGGTTAGATCCCTGCTTGTCAGAATACTTCAGGCTAATTATCTTCTTGTGCGGACGAAATCCTATTAGTAACGATATGTAGAATTTCACCCTTGTCTCTTTCTTTTTCGGAACTTCGGATAAGGAATAATATGTGACATATTTGTATTTTAGCTCAATTAAAAGGATAGCAGTCGTGACGACGATAATACTAACGACCCATCAGTAGATTTAATAGATAAACCTGTTGGTAATGGTTGTAGTAAATATAATGTCGAATTTAAGTTAATTTGTATTTCTTTATATAATAAATAATTGAAAAATAGTTGACATGATCCACTAGAAAACACATTTAATGCAACAACTGAACCATTCAGTATTAATGCATAACATAAACATGTTTCACTATCTTGAGTATTCAACCACCTTGTTAAATTATCTGTATTATTTGTTAACATACCATTTGCAATACAACCAATGGTGACTGTGGTTAAAACATGAGGAGGGATAATTAAATAGATCAGTAGAATGAAATGCATGATTATCTATTCAATCTCATGTTCTTATATGTATTTAATATGTGTTTTTATTTGAATACATTATTTATTATTATTTATGTGAGTAGTTAAAAATAATAAGTATTATACTGAATCTTTTAGAAAACTTCGAAACAAAATGATTCTATTTTCAAGAAAAATAGTTGAATATCTTTTGTTGTGAATAGAGAGAGTTGCAGACGAATCGGAAGACGAGATTCTTCAAACTTTTCAAGAAATTTCTTCTTTTCAACTTTCAACTTTACTTCAAAAGGTGTTGGTTCTCACACAGAATTTTTCTTCTAGATATCCATCTATACTAAACATATAGAAAATTATATTTGTAATAAGTATGGGCATGTAAAAGAAGGATCTTTTTTATCCTGTAATTTCACACTTTGAAGTGTGTTTTATAAATATAACTTTTAAAATATTGTATTCTCTTGCTCTTGATTAAATTGAGAAGGTGTTAAAAGCAAGTGACTGATGCCTCCGGTTTTTGCTACTTTAAAACGGCAGCAAATACATAGATCCATTTAATTTTCTTTATTCCGACGTTTTGAAAATTTACACTGTCATTTTCAAGAATATCATACAAATAGATAATACTTTAGCTAATAACAGGTGTTACAGAAAAAATGATGTGGTTAAGATTTCCCATTAAATTCTCTATAAAATGGTGTATAGCAGATGATCCTAAGGTTTGAAATGATGTCTTAATTGAACAAACATCGAAGTGTCCAAAAAATTTAAAAAAATTTAAATTTCTTCCGACAATAATTTTGAAGTTCGAACTGCACTTTGAAAGTGGTAGGAAGAAGATAGCGCTTCACCTTAGGAAAAAATTAACATACCTTTTTTATTAGCTCATTCGTTTCTACATCAAAAACTGGAGTTATCAATATATTTTTTAACCTTCAAACCCAATACCCGCTGAGTTATAGGCTCGGTTAAAAGAGAAAAAAATTTTCTCAAACTTTTGGCGATATGCCTCACCCAAAAGGAAGAATTCGTAAACTATCAGCTGTGCTGAATCCGAAAATACACTTGCTACCTACTCTGCATTGACTTTATTTCCACATCACGGTGGTATGTTTCTCAGTTAGAAACAAAGTGGAAATTTTAAAGTACAGTGGAAAGCGCAGTGGATTTTTCTGTTTCCACAGAAACTATGCGCCAACAAGATGATCAAAATGTTTTCGATACCTTATGTCGTATTAGATTAGGGGAGAACTTTCGTTTTTTTTTAAATTTGTTAGTATTATTCTGTACCCATCTGTACCCAGCCACTGTTTTAGCAGCTGAACTATCTGAGGCAGATAAAAAACTACTGTTAACTATGTTTATCCGGCAAGAGAGCAAGTACTACACAAAATGCATGAATTGTTAATAAAGAGATCTACTTCGCACAGAGAATAGATTTATATGTTTGAAGCAGTTGATGCAGCAAAAATTCAGAAGTTATCATTTTTCTATGAAAAATAAAACAAAACTAATAAATTTAAGTATTATCATAAAGCCATACGAGGATGAAAAAAATTGCTCAGGAATGCATCAGTACTTAGCACACTGTATTTCATATCATGATTATACCAATGTTAAACTGCCGGAGTATATTAGGCTTGAATTGTTTAATGGGAAAATATACAATCTGGTTCCTGAAACAAATTGTTTCAAAGGTCAGAATAAAGTATGGATAGAGCGTAAACAACTATCTCTAACTCTGGCATACACTACGACTATTCACGGATGAGTTAAGTGGCTGGAGACGAGAACAGGATCTTCTTTTTTGTTATATTGTTTTTACTAGTATAAAATAATCCAAATTTCCTTTTTGAGCACCGATTGTAAACTGAATATGATTCGTCTAGATATTTCTCTAGCAGCGTTAAAATAAACTGAATTTCAAAATCATTCTCTATTAACCATACTTTTGTGAGTATTCTTTTAACTATTTAAAAATGAAGCCCAAAACAAGCGCGGTATATAATCCAGTCATTTTATGTTGGTATGACACTAATACTGATCGTGATACATGTACAATAGCTCTTGAGCACCTGACATTTGGTCATAAAGGGAACATCAAATAGTTTACATAAAATATATTTTCACTATCTAGAACACAGTATGAAACGTTCGATCGTTTAATAATTGATTTTGGTAAAAGACGGATCATGTCAGGAATGTTTTATACCGCTATATGATGTACCATAAAACTTACAGATATTATAATATTAGATTATCATCGATAATCATTCAAAGTAAGTATTTTTATTTTTATAATTTGTCTTTAAATATGAATTGTAATGATAAGAAATGCTTAAGGACCTCCCCCCCCCCAGAAATTGTGATTTTCTGTCAAAAAATTGGTTTTGAGATAAGCAAATGGAAAGGTAGCCGGAAGTGTCTACTTTCAGAATCTGTATCGCTTTTGGTTACAGAATTAAGTTTTCGAGAATTTTGAGCAAGCTTTCTAGAAGCCTCGGAAAACCGGATCTTCAAAGAATAGCTGTTTCCGGGATACTTATACAATTAACTGAACACACGAATTTGTAGAGCAACCGTTTCTTATCTTAAGATCTCGCACAACTCTGTATGACCTTGCATCAAAAAGTTACAGGGATTTTCCTAGAAATCCTAAAACTGAGCATTTTATACAGCGTTTTCTCTACATGTAAGTTAAACCTGAAGTGTGTCCCAAGATTTTTAATAGCGGTTTGTCGTAGAGAGTTCATTCTTTTTGTTTTAAAAAGAGGAAAAGAAACTACATGGAGTGACAAACGCCGATTTTCGAATTAGGTTCTAGTTTTTTGTCAAACAGAGGATTTTTAGAAAATTCGGAAGGCTTTTTCGGATTTTGAAGGTTGTTGATTACCTGGAAGACCAATAAAGCTTTAATTAAAAAATCGGCACCTGTCAGCCCATGTAGTTAGGTGTCTAGTTTAAAATAAAACAAAAACCCGAACTCTCCAGCTTGAAGTATATTAAAAAATCTTGGGATACACTTCGGAGTCCTTTTTGAACCAAGATCTGTGGAAAACTCCTGAACTGTAAGACTTGGAGACAAAAATTCTGTTTTATTCCCGTAACTCATTGTGCCTAACGTTTATGGAAAGTTTCGTCAAGATCGGATGTACGATATTGGACATAATTTCTGATGTGAGCGGCGCCCTTAATACAATAGGTATCTAAAGCATCTATGATCCGGAATCTGTGCTGCCAAATCATTATGTACACGTTAAAAAAAAGCAATGTTACGTGTAACTTCGTTTTGTTAAAACAGTGCAAATCCAATGTTATACCCTACATGTGTATGTCTTTTAACAAGTTACATAGATGTATCGGTGTATTAGGTTTTGAATATCTGTGTAGTTCTTTTACTGATTAGCGCATGTTTGCTAATAAACAACATCATTTTCACACTAGTAAATTCTAAAATGATCAGACTTAACGATTTAATCAGGCAGAATGGTTTTACAATAGAAATTTTGATATTGCTCAAATGGAACATGTTGAAAATCGAAATAATATCGGGGCACTCCTTTAATAACCGAATCTAACCTTGCGTTTAAACCGAGAAATAAAAATAACTGTGTACCGTCCATATAATCAAATAGTTCGTAGAACACTTCTGATGACAAGTCTTCCAAAACGGTCGACATCCTTTTTCCAATACGTAAAGAAAATCTAAACAAATGTACGATGGGGAATTGTCTGCTCCAAATCTTATAGTGGTGATGTCTTCTGCTTAAAGCTCTTGAAGTGTTCACAGTGAATGAAGAAACGGTGCCTTTCTTTGCTGATGTTACCGATAATCCCGTACGTCTTTGATTTTCTTTTAAAGAAATAATATTTTGTTCCACAGGATAATATCAGCGAATTGATGGTTAACCATTGACAGCTGTTTTGGGTCCAACCGGACCCACCTTAATTTTGTGTTTATCATCACTTCTCTATAGTTTTTTTCATATCCCCGTAAAATTGCTGGCATATTCTGGGCCAGAGAGAACAAACGGGGCTTTTGATTGATGTATGACAAGTCTAAATCAAACAAAAGCCATCGAACCTTCGAGGCCTTCCCTAGTGGCTCGAACTGGACCTGTGAGCAGCTATCGAAGATGAACAGCCGTCAAGGATTAGACCTGAATGTGGCATTAAATGCGCTAATCATCTGTCCCCCATACCATTATGCAGCCTCATAGGACAATAAGAGGCATGTAATTGTACTAAGGGTTTGACTGGGAACGTACTACACTAGCATCAAAAGAGGAAAGATGCTATATAAACCTCGATGCAGACTAAAGTGAAGGTCAAAAATCAGCCGCATAAAAAATTAGAATGAAAAGGAAACTTATTTCTTCTTTGTCTGACTAGTCTTAATAGTCGATAGCTAAAGACTGATGACTCATCGTTTTTCTTTTCACTTTGACGGCCTCTATCTTTACGTTGGAGCAGTTTGTGATTATATTTTGTCATCATGAATATTTTGATAGGACTTGTTAGGGCAGCCCCTTTGCCGGGCTAAAATTGTTAAACTCCTTTACATTAGCCTAAAATGGCTAGCCGTTTACGTACCCGCTAAGTAATATTTTAATTGCCAGTACCTATGACATTACTGTACCAGGGTACGTAGTCGGGTACCTATGCTCAAGTACGAAAAATTATTATTCACGAAAAGTGAGAGTCATGAAAGGTCACCGACCTGTAATAACAATGACTCAAGCCAAACAACACCAAAAGAGTAATAAAAAAGAACAAAATAAAAAAAGACAACTAAGGTTAGAACGAGAAGTAGTAAAAAAGCTTTTTTAAAAAAATAAACAAAAATGAACAAATATAAATTCTTAACTGACATATGTTTCACTGGAAGAGATACTGAAGTAAAGCTGTTTTGAAAGACGTTAAAGAAGAGACAAATAACATGACTCTGGATTGTTCCAGTCAGCAATAGTTGAATAAAAAAAAGAAGAATGCACAGTTTGCAGAGAAAAGCCATCAACAGAAGATGGAATGCGAACATATCTAGAGTGATGAAGACGTAAGGATGGGTAGTGAGTACAATGAATAGTATAAAAAAGAGAAACAGGACTTAGATGATGATGAATTTTGAAAAACGGTTGAAGTCTAAAGTATTTACGATGAAGAGAGAGATTTGGAAGGGAAAGTTGACACTCAGCTAGAGAACTAGAAGAACGATAGTCAAAATTGCGAGGAATGATACGAGAAGCAAGTTTGTTTACAGAATCAAGAACAGTAAGAGTAAACGAACTGTCATACAAGGCACAGCAATAGTCAATTTTAGGAAGAATAGAAGAAACATAGATTCGACACCGAACTCCAGTTGGAGCTAATCCAAAGACACGATTCAATGCTCCAAGCTTGCGCCGACAAGCAAGAGCAATGTCCTTGGGGCATGATCATTCCATCTAAGATTGTGCGAAACAAGAACACCAAGCCTACTGTGCCTTCTGTTCGCTGTCCGACAGTGAACAGAAGACACAACAGAGAGCGAGAAGTACATTCACTAGGGATCATTGCTGAGTTCAAGTTTATCTTTTTCTTATGCAACCAGTAACTTAGTAATCCCTTCCCTTGGCGTTGTTGTTAGGTTTACAATCAAGATGAGCAATGTCAGTTCTTCAAGATAGATACATTTTGACAATACTTTCAAATTCGCTTCAAAGGGGCAAACGCTCTTAGTGGACTAAATTTTTTTCTACAATTGAACAAGCAAGAGAAGACAGACAAAACGGTGAATAGAAAAGACGACAGAACAGAGAAATATAAGAATCCTATGAAATCCTATGATAAAATTTCATAGAATTTTATAGGAATCCTACAATAAGAATCCTAGTAGGATTTTCGCTGCGATCTTATGGTAAGATTCATATAAGATCTTATGATAGGATTTTTATAGGAAATTCATAAGATTCCTATAGGAATCCTATGATATCCTAGCATTTGTAGGATCCTACATAGGACCCATCGATCTGGGTAATATAGGAATTACTTTTTTGAATGTTTAATAGGAGCTCTCAAAGTGCATTTGGAATTTTTGACTAATCATAAGCGAATAGCCTGTCATGTTGGCTACCAAGCGAAAAAATTGGGCTGACATCAGTGACTACTAAGAAATGAACTCGATATTATAGCATCTGGCTATGTTCTCGCGGTCGTCAGCGAATCCTCTTTCGGAAGCAGTCTTAATATATAAAAATTGCTTACGAAATTATCAGTGGAAGTACACGCGTGGAATTTTCTTAGAAATAGGCATAAATCAAAGACCATCGAACAGTATGGTACAAAATATAGCAAGTACTATGGAATAAGTACGTTCGAACTTGAAACCGTAAGTATCTAATTCGTGATATTATTACGACTTAGTATTCAGACACGTGGTGGACTTTTTTTACCCCTTTTCTTGTGAATCACTTGTAAAACAAATAAACGCCAATCAAAAAGTAAAAGTGCTTTCAAGTTTACTTGTAGTTACATAAAGGAAAGAGAAAATAACTTCAGAGAAAGCACATGTCTTCTAATAAAAAGAAACAGGAGTAACTGCTGCACAAGGATGAACCAAAGAAGAAGAAAAGCTTGTTAAGTCTTTAAATATATTTGTCGATCAACAATCGTGCTATATGCGATAAATCCTTCTGTTTTTCGTTCTACGCATGATAAACTATTTATTTGAAAACACCTAATCAACTCAACATCTAAATCGGTCAAGCACTATATAGTGATGAGTTGTACTATAGATGTTCCAATGATCATGGAATTGCAGTGAAAAAATTAAATAACAAAAACTAAGAAATAACGAATAATACCAGAATAGTAATTAATCAAAAAGTCATAGGAATGACAAGTATAATAGAAAACAGGACAGTGGAGGTAAGAATGAAACGTAAAAAGGGATAGAATGACACACACTGAAATACGATGCACCAACATTTTCGTCAAGATATCAGACCTGAGTGAAATCATGTGATGAATAGTAATTATGTGATACAGTTAGAGATATACAGTTTCGCATCATGAAAATATGTTTTCTGTGAAACTACTTTTCGAACTCACTCTCACACTGTGTACACCCCTACCTCCCGCGATACACTGCTAAAAATATCCGAATGTGTACTATGAAAAATTCATGGAAGAGGTAGGGTCCTGTTCGCAGAACCGTTGTGTCACGATCAAATCTTACTATTTTATCAGATCTTAATGTCTTACGCCAAATATGAAATGTATGATTTCAGATTACAGATAAATGGAATAAGGGGAACAGATATATGTTTCAACGTGTATCATCTTATTCTTTTTTATATTTCAAAAACCTTTCGTCTATTACTATTCTGTACAGATCTTCTTACCGAATTCTATCGTAACTACCCATACTCGCAAACGACGTGAAAGAAAACAAAACTCTCGCTCACCTTGATCTTGTAAACAATCGAATATCCGACACAGTAGGTCAAGCACTCGGAAGCGTTGAAAGTAAACAGCACTCGCACTCATCTTGATCTGACACACAACAAAATATCCACACAGCCGGTGAAGCACTGACAGAAACGTCGAAAGTAAACAAGCCTCCTACTCAACTTCATCTTTGAAACAATGGAATATAAACGAGCTCACGGAAGCGCTAAGAGGAGTGTTGAAAGTATGTGCAAGAGCATCACGAAAATGAAGAAAAATCACGAAATTACACAAAGAAAAAGAGAAAATGTTGTAGATTATCAGAATGGTGAATAGAAAATATGCAACCATCAAACGAATAAACAAAATATCGAGAGAACGACGAAAAATCTTACTGGCGGAGTTTGACTTACTACTGCGGCAAAAATTTTCCGTACGGTCCAAACTCTTTTCGTTTTAACCATAACTCAGCAGAGTGGTCTTTCGGCAAACGGTTTTCACCAAAATGTTGCCCATTCCTTCGAGTATATTTGTCGGTTTCTTAAAGAAAAATTTGTATTTGTGAAATTCACAAATAGAAAACAGGATTAATTTGTATTTAGACAATTGCAGAATTGATTACTTTTATATATCACTATGTGTAAAATCGAGATATCTGTCTAACATTTAACCAATAAATCTATGAGGAGCAACTTTGAAAATAAAATATTGTAGTTCATTCTGAAGCTCAGAAAATTCTCCATCTTTCTATATACAAAACATTCGGGGTCTGAGTACAGGCGTCAAAGAAGTATTCCTTTAAAGTGTGAAAACTGATAGGAAATAATTTTTTCCAGAAGATCAGGAGCAATTTTTGAAAGTCAAACGTGTTGGGAAGTGAAGAGGAAAGCATTTCTGGTCATTTTCAGTCAAAATCATATTGGGCCATTTTTTAGATTTATATCTAGATCTAAATTTTATGTCCTATATATTTCCTAGTTCCTGAAACGGTGAGTACAGACATATACACCTATATACATATATGACAACGCTAATTTCTGCGTTCCTGAATACCTCACTTCGGATGTATACACATATATATGTATATGAGAACACGAATTTTCGAGTTCCTGAGACCTTGAGTGAGTTTCAAAATACACATATACGTATAGATGATAACGTGATTTTCTGAGTTCTTTAGTTCCTAACTTGAGATATATACACATATATGAATATATGACGCCGTGAATTCCTGGATACCTGAGCTCCTAGCTTCGGATTTATACAGCTATATGTATAGTAATAATCTTCCTCTCCATAGTCAATATGAGTCGATTGACATCTTGAATTGAGAAACTAATAAAAGCAATTCGGTGTCATAAAGACATTCTCGTCTAATCACGAAAAAAGAAATGAATCCTCGTATCAAAAAGGTTAAATCAATAATGTTCTCTTGGAATTAAGATGAAGATTTATTTAAAAGATTAAAAATACAGATGATAATCTAAAACAAATGACTTGAATAGTTTTTGGTTACTAAAATATACTGTTGAAGCTTATGAATAATTTATCGTTTTAATTTATGCACATATTTCTAACAAAAGAAATTCCTCGTATAGAAAAAAAATTCTATTTAAAGAGCTGATTCAAAAAGAGTATCATAATAGAAATTCATTTTACAACAATGGAGGTTCTTTTTGCAACGATCATTATTGTTAGTTTTTATAATTTGGCAAAAGCTCAAGAATGCTTCCATAGTGATGGGCTCCTCGGAGAGGAATCTTGTTCTCCTAGGAACTTTTTTGGCAGTATGGGCTCGCGTTCATTAACAAACAATATCTTGCCTGGATCTGAAGGATGTATGGATGAATGTACAGGATGGTATCATTCTCCTGAAGATATTTCTATTAAGAAGATTATTTCTATGGGAGGTGTGCTTCTGCAGATGTCCAATCATGTCTTGGCAAATGGATTGGTTAGATGTGATCTAAAAAAAGCTCCTATATGTAACAGAAAAATGCATATGGTTGAAAATGCCGGTTGTTTCTATGATTATAAAGATATTACGACTTATAGTGAGCATGTTTTACAAACACGAATAATGCAAGTATGGTATCCAGACATAAAATTAAACCTATTACCATTTCCAGAAACGTTTGATGCAACAGTATTGTCTTCAAACATTATAAATGGCTGTGAAGATACCTCAGTTGTTTGTCATGATTTTCAACCATTAAACAGTTGTTCACCATTTTTTGTTTGTCATTCAAAAAATGGAACGAAAGCATACGAAGTTATAATTGCTAATAAACTAGTTCCCACCGGTGTAAAAATGATTTCTTTATGCCATTATCAAACAAGTGAATTTGATCCTAATCATATAGCCTGGAAAGTTTTACACAAACAACCTGGCGATCCTGTATGCCATTTTACGCCTCTTGATAGCTTTTTATTATGTAAAAAGGTTTAAGAAAACTACCTAATAATATCAATATTTAACTATATGAATATGCTTTTCTGCTTATTTTGCTTTAATTTCTCTTATTTACCATGTCGAATAATAATAAATAAATATATTTATACGTAAGTATATAAGAAACACGATTTCAACGAGAAATGTTCTTCTTTTCAGATTATCCTTTTAGTTTAGTTTAAAACGGAGTTGCCAAGAGTCTTTTCCGTAGTTTCCTCAGAGCTGACTCCCTGTGTCGATTTGAGCCAGCTTGGAACCGAGGAGGCCAGTTGACTGTTAAACTAAAAATTCGCCGATTAATTGCTATTAATCAGTAAAATCACTGAAAAATAGCCGATTTCGACCACATGGGCATACTGTGCCACTTTGTAGCAGAAACCGTTTTCCGTCCTTTATGAGATATTAAAACTAAATATCCTCGCACGGAAGTCAATAGACATATAGCCTCCTCCGCATCTGTCTGTGTTAATTTTAAAAAATTTTTAAACAGTATAAAGAGAAATTCTCTAAGAGATCTAAGTCCTATTTTTACCCTTTCAAAATTTTACTATATACAGGAGTAAAAACTTTTATTCGATTAAAACCGTCTATGTAAAAAGAAAAACGGAAAATTTGCATGTGAAAATAGTAGGATTCGGTAGACAAGAAAGTACGTAGTCTAGCTGAGTTTAGCAAATGTGTTTAAAAATAAGTATGTAAGAAAAGATCAGTAGAACTTTTATCGATACGTGTGAACCATAAACTAAAAGAACCACATAAATCTTTCATTCGAAGAATATAACACACTTAACCTATATTTTTAATTGAGTGGCATCAATAGAAAACGACTTAGCACGTTCCTGAGTGACGTATATCGTGGATCACCTAAGAGTTCTTATTACTGATTGATCAGTCACACTCATCAAACATACAACAATATCATTCTCTCTTTCTTCTTTTCTTTCGAGATCTCGAACCATTCAACACACACAGCACTTCTACGTAGAATCATGGATAACAACAGTACAAAACTATCATTGACTACCCACGGGAAAATTTTGAGATAGAAACGAACGTTCAGACATATGTTTCTTTAATTTTTCCCAAAAAGTCGTGCCCGCACGCGTGTTTTGGATCATAATTGCTCTCAGAACGCTTTTTCATCTTGATGAGAGAAAAGTGTGTTCGGACTCACCTTGTTTTTCAATTGAATGAAGGATGCGTGTAGACGGCCCTTGACTTTAAGATTCTTTTAAACGCATCTGACACGCTCAGAAAATCATGTTGTCATATATTAGTATATATCTGAAGTTCGAACCTTAAGAGAGGATTTGCCAAGCCAGCGAAAAAGCGGTCACTTGAAAATTTACAACCTATACTTTCTATTGGGGGCTTCGATTCTAGACATAAAACTATGGAAATGAAAAAATGTTTTGACTTTTGAACCTTATTTTGACGAATGGCACCGTAACATCCACCTGATGAGACCCTTAAGCAAGGTCGAAAGCGCTCGTGGTAGCTTAAGTAGCGAATAACTCTAACAACAACCAAGTTGTAGTGAGAAGTCTAAGTATCTAAACGTG